GCCTGTGGTCCCAGCAACTTGGGAGGCGGAGGCAGGAGACTCGCTTGAGCCCAGGAGTTGGAGGTTGCTGTGAGCTGTGATGCCACAGCACTCTACCCAAGGGGACAGCTTGAGGCTCTGTCTCAAAATGAATAAATAAATAAATAAAATAAAGTAGTCAAAAAGTTTAAAAAAAGAAATTAAACTGTGTAGACCACAATATAAACTGAAATACTCTCTGAGAGCAAGTGTGTGAAACAGGATCCTCGGGAGTCAGCCCATGAAAAGGAGAGGGAACAGCATGGTGGTTTAAAGGGAACAGTGCATGCAAAAGGGGAAGTAGGAGGTAGGTCTGGGACTGCGTATGTGAAGTGAGCACAGATATTTAGTTCACTGTTGTCATGGCCAGGTGCTGAAGCCCACCCACCTTCACAGATCCCCTGCCTAGGAGGAAAGTAGCCACCGGGCAAACTATCACACAAATGGCAGTGCAACTTCAAATGAGGGAGAGGAATGAGGGGAGTGTGATTGAGGCTGGGGGAGGAATCAGGGCAGTCTTCTCTGAGAGGTAAAGAATAGAAATAGAGTACTGGAGCAGAAGGAATAGCACTATGTGGCCCAGAGGCAGGACAATACTTAAGGCATCAGCAAGTGAATAGGAGGCTGAGGTGCTGGGCAGGGAAGTGAAGACAGGAGTGATATCAGAGAAGTGAACAGGAGCCAGCTCAGTGGGCTAAGCATGGTAAGAAGTTTGGGTTTATTTTCAGTCAGTGAGGATCGGTGAAGGAGTTCTGAGCAGGGAAGAGATAGGAGTGACGCGGATGCCAACAGTTCCCCTTTGCCTATGAGGCAGAAGCTAGGAGTACAGGAAGGAGACAACGGAAATGACCCAGGGAAGAGATAGTGACGGTTTCTGCTGGTGCAATTCACTTTAGGGCAATAGCAAATGTTGTCGAGGACATGGGGAAATCCAAACCTGGGCATTGCTGGTCAGAGCAGGGCAACCCCTTTAGAAAGTCTGGCAGTTCCTCAGGTGATTAAACACGGGTGCCACATGATACAGCAATTCTTCTTGCAGGTATCTACCCAAGGGAATTGAAAACATGTGTCCACCCCAAAACCCACGAGAATGACCAATATCATGTAGTCCCAAAGCAACAGTTGCTGGTGTGAGTGTGCAGAGAAGGGAACACTCATGCACTGTTGGTGGGACTGCAAACTAGTACAGCCTCCCTGGCAAAAAGTATGGAGATTCCTGAAAGAACTAAAAATAGACCTCCTATTTGACCCTGCAATCCCACTACTAGGCATTTACTTAAATGGAAAAAAAACCCACACATTTAACCGCAGGGACATTTGCGCTAGCATGTTCATAGCTGCTTAGGTCACAATCACAAAGATGTGGAAACAACCCAAGTGCCCATCACACATGAATGGATTAAGAAATTGTGGTGGCTCGGCGCCTGTGGCTCAACCGGCTAA